TATGATAAGTAAAATCGTTGTTGATTTAAGTACTTAAATATTTGAAAAGTATTAAAAATAATACCCGAGGTCTTGGCATGTGTATAACAAGCAGTTTAATATTTATAACGTTACATGTTAACTATGGATATTATTAATTCAGAAGAGCTTACACGAAGGAAGTTGCGCGGTTTGGTTGTACGACTGAATAAAATAACACTGTTATAATTTCGAAGCAGAGGCATAAAAGTCGCTTTAAATTAAAAACAAATGTTCGTCAAAGTTGGTCCTTAATAATTCAGCAACTCGCCCTCCCGCCTCCCAGCTCCCTCGGTAATTGGTAACCGGGAATAGGGTCACTATCAACTTACTATCAAGACGGGACCCGATTATATACGAAAATATGATTTCATTATTTTAAATTTTAAACACTTTTAGTATATATCCCGTTGTCAAAATAACACTTTTGCAACGGTTTTGTATTTCATTAAATCTCTGAAAGCTGGACTAGTAAACAAACGAATACGAACATTGATAAATAATGTGTCCAGTAAACTGAAACACAGGACAACCTAGTTTAGAAGTCAAGGTTCCCAGTTAATGTATGTAAATGGGCGTCACAAAAATGTGTGACGGGAAGCTAATTCTTAAGAATTGAGAGAATTTTGGAGCAATTCAAAGATAAAATACCTAATACTATTATTAAAGGGGTGAAAGTCCTAGTTAACATCAGAAGTTTGGAGTACGTACACGAAGGTGGCAGGGTGAGCATGGTGGCTGTGGAGCAATGATTAACATGTTTGTCTTGCTTACATCGTCGCAAGCGCTCAAACTACGTCTAACTCAAATAAAATCTTCCCCGCTTTGCATAAGTACCGGGGCCCGGCTTTCACCAATATTTGTCTACAATGTCACTGTATTTAATGCTCAGAATTAAAACTTTACTATTTGTCTCCTTCTGTTAACATACTTCATTTGAAAAATTACATTTATGAATATTTAATGCATTTGAATCTTTATATCCTTACAGTACTTTTTTAAATTACCTTTACTTAACGTTTAAAATAACTAAAACATTCGTAACAATTAATTCAACGAGAGCATTTAATTTCCGGCAATTTGTTATAAAATGTTATGCGAAATTCGATCTTTGGTGTGCAGTTTTGAAGATTAAATCCAACCACTGAACTCCCATGAATTGTGAACGACGAGGTTGCATCTACCGGGCAATTCATAAGCGACATGTTAATTGTATGGAGTAGCCGCAGGGAGACGGCAACGTAGCGCAATACGCTACTAAGTATGCACCATCAAATATTCCAATCCACTCTGACTCTCATTAAAATTTCATATAAATAAACAAAACCGCTAATCCACTCTTATACAGTATACGTGCACTTAAAATTAATACAGCGACGAATAAAAACAGAAGGATAAAGTTGACATTGCACCAATACGTAGCAGCGTGATCTCGTTAAATGAGCATTACTAGGATATATACTGTTTCCAACTGATCGTACGATTAAAAATAACGAAAGAGAAACAACAATTAACATGGAATAATTACAATTAGAAGACAATATAACAAACGGAAAAGCGAAGCGGCTTTATGCAAATAAATCAACGAACGCGGACGTAACTAGCAAACAACAAAACAATGGACGCTGTGTAATGGAGAGGCAAAGTGCCTATCAGGCCTTCAGACGCTGTAAACATATAAAATGAAGGCGGTTATTGTTCTTCTGAAACAATAAGCTACATATTCCACAATTCGCTGAAGCCATTTCGAGTGAAAGCGCCATGGAAAAAATATCCATCGGATACCGCATCGACGCACGCTTAAACAATCAAACGGGGAACAAAAAGACAGTAATGTGGAAATGGATAATGCAGGAGCGGACGTGGCAGGGTGCGGTCACAGTCCGGGCGGGCGCACTCATAGTCCGAGCGGGCGCGTACACTGCCTCCTGCACTCAATGAAAATAAACGCAGTCACCTGTCACCACTCTAAGGGGTGCACTGAGAAGTCAATTTAAATTGTCGTACCAAGTTGTGACCAAAGCTCATTTGCACCATTGTGGAAGGCAAAAACAGATTAGATTGGGGCGTCTTTGAATGTATTAGTATTTCAAACTGGTTCATTCTTCATTTGCAAACTTATGAGCAAAAACCTAAAATATAATTATAACAAAAAAAACTTAGATTGTCGTATCAGTAATATAGGTACAGTAGCATGAATCCTTTGTGAATAAAGATAGGTATAACGTAAAGTTTACTCAGCTATATTAGTTCTTTTACTAAAATTTAATTAGAGAAAATTAATTTCTATAAATGTAATATGTAATCAGTCCGCAATCCGCTTAGCGGACCGCTGCCGGGGGCACTGTGGCGCCGCCGCGCTTTCGCAGGAGAGGATGTGTGATTAGTTTTATCCTTCGCCCCTCACAGTGCGTCCCCCGATACCCCGCTCCCCACCTCACATCCCGCTCCTATTCTTCGCAAGCTCTAAATTGTAACGCAAATGAATCAAACGTATTATCGTGGAAGCTTAAACGTGTCCTAGCAAATTGGGATCAATGATAAAGCTACTAGAGTTTGTATTAAGCGATTTCTCGCCGCACACCTCAACGTTTTCCTTTGTCGAATAAGGACGGATTGTGGAAAGGGAAAAAAACGCGTATCGTGTAACGTTCACAATGGTTCAAACAGTGAGGACTCGATTCGTGATTGTCTTTTTCTCGAGATTTTCTGTATTACTGTCCTTTTAATTAATTAGTATTTTTTTTTTAGTAATATTATACAATTTGTATATTTTCATAACTTTGATATATATTGTGACGTGTTTTGCATTACATCAGGCGTTAGTTTCAAAGTGTTAGTTTACTTTCTTTTTGCGTATATGTTTAGGAATAAACTTGAGTCATAAATATGCAACAATGTAAATTTACATTTACGACAACATTTACGTCATAACTCAACCTCCCACTCCTCGGCGTTATTATTTTGGATAGACTTTATATAGCTTAAATAGAAATAGTACATATGTAATGTAATATTCTTATATAGTTTTAAAATGTATTGATTTTCTCAGGTGATGAGGTTCGTTTGGTTCAAATTAAACAAGTGTTGTAATTAGAAAAACTTTTAGAATTCTTCAGGACACTTAACTCTATAAGTGGTGTTACCAATTTTAAGCAGAAAAATCGGGGAAAAAATACACAAATCAATTTAACATTTTACGGTTAATTGCCGACACACACCGTAACCTAAAGAGGTAGGCAGAGGTTCGGCGCAATCCTGGCACACTTCCCTCGTCTCTACATTCACATAAAATAAATATATAATATTTATTAACTGTTGTAAATGAACACGAGATGTTTAAGTTGTGTCATATGTAGAAACTTCGCTTTGAAGCGATGCTGACTAACACAAATAATCAGAGTTCGTTACAAATTGCACTGCGTATTTACTTACATGTTTCTAGATATTTCTGTTATCATTGGCGCTTATTAATAATTATAAGTAGAAAAAAGGGCCACTTTTTAAAGTAATATTCGTTTATGCTAACATCTAATCTCAAAGAATTAAATTCGCTGCTCTCTTAGAATCGAACATCGTTGAGCAAACTAATATGTATGTTGCTAGATAAGTTTTCGATTTAATTTCACTGTTAGCGTGGAATTTCACAGAAATAGATAGGAAATAAATAAGTGTTGTACAAATATCGAAATGTATATGTTGGATGTTTCTATGCAATAATTATCACTTCAACACCAACAGTGAGGCAGTTATTATAAAGGGTGTATCATTTAGCAAATATTCAACCATTAAGGCGTGGTGCGGTGCGCCGGCTGAAACTTCCAGTGTTATATTACCACGAACTCCTGGAAGAGTTTGTACGGACGGCCAGTTTGTAATTATTGTGCTAATATGTCTGCTAATAACCGGTAGCAGACTTAAATAACAACCATTACAATGTTTTCCATTTCATTAAATTGGCTTTCGTGATTTGATAAAGAATCTATATGATTTGTTTGGATTGTTTTTTGAAAAATATTATTGTTTTTCAATGCTTCTTTGATGGGCGGATTGAAATAGACCTAGAATTATTCGCCGACTTCGGCGACGCAGTAGAGCAGTACACAAACACTTGTTCCTAGCCGGCGTCCGTCTCTGACTCGTCAATAATTGTAACGGTCAGATGAAAAAGAACAATTCGTCCGTTAATTTACACCTCCCCATCGACGGCAGGAAGTTTACGATCGAGCATTTTATCGATTGCTACTGTATTTAATGCGCCGAATGTGCGCGAGCGAATGTTTACGTTCGCCGCGCGATCGACCGGCGGGCGGCGGCGTTTCTTTGTGCCGTCGCGCGGGCAAAGCTTTATAGAAATTTTAATTGTGGCAGCAGACAAAAGCGGCCCGTTAAGACTCCACTATGTAACTACAGTACAATCTACAAATAAAATGTTTTATTAAGTTGGCCGGAGGAGGGGGATGGTGACGGACGGTGCCGGGCGCCGCCGCCTATACTCGCTGTGTTTACCGTGAGCGCACGTGCACTAAGTACCAGTTGAAACGACCCGATGTATTGTTTGTTTACTCCTATAAAACACTAAAATCCAATTCAATAACAAAGAATTAAAGATCCCGAAATAAAATTTATTGCTCCAGTACGATAAAATAGATTTATGAACGCGCGAGGTTTGCGACTCGCCTGTAATATTCTTAGGTGCTCCCCTGGAAACAATTGTAGTCGGTGGCAAGTCCTGCCGCGAATCATATAAATGTTCAGGCTAAGTATAGTCGCTACTTGGCTCCGGCTTGTCGTTTACATCAATTAAAATAAATCGATACGTCTTGTGTTATATTCGTTCTATCGATTATTACATTTATAAGGCTAAATTATTAACGATTCCCCCTCACTAATATTTGTAGGATACAACTTTACGGTTATAAAACGACGTAATAATTCATTTCTACAACCTAAGGTCTAATATTTGTTTTTTTTTGTTTCAGGCTAAACTGCTCGAGAATTCGCATGCCTGGCTCGGAGCCTCGACATCTTCGATTGCAGGTCTGTTGATATAATTACAACTTTTTAATTGTTGCATTTAAATGTTGTTGTTTAATTCCACAATAAACAACTTTACGCCATGACACATTTGAGATTATTTATTAATATTTTAACTAAAATAAAAATTATTTTATTAATTGTTAGTTAATAGACATCCTTTTTTACACTTATCTTGTAAGAACAATAATAGTGTTTTTTGGCAGTAAATGTGTGTTGTGGCAATTTAATTATTTATTTCACTTCTAAAACTGTTTCTGTTGCCTTTGATTGTGTATTGCATGTTTTACAATAACATAATCCGTATATAATGATGCAGTGCGTAACACTTTTCGTATCCCACATAATAAGTTCTTTGCTTTGTATATAATTGTTTTCAATCCGTGAGAAATTAAGTAACTCTTGGGAAAAACAATTGTCAATACTATGTATATTTTGCTTTCAATATGTGCTTTAACAAAAGAAATAATTTAATTCTAATAATAGCTATTATAAATCATTTTTAAATTTAACAAATAACCTAATGAGAAATAATATTTTGAATTATTTAATAAATTCTTTCTATATCTCGGTAGTTTAATCGTATTATGAATAGGCTTCTATTCTACTTATGGTTTCCTTTCCTTTTTTAACATATTCAAGAGTGAAATTCATGCATCATTGTATCGGACTCACACGTAGTTTAAGTTATATGCTAGCGTTTTTGCTTTTATCTGTCGATCAGAATTCCACGGTACACTGAAGTCGAAAGCACCAACCTGGACACAAAGTCAACTGCAAGAAGCTATACAGGCAGTCGTCAACCAAAGAATGCGTTTTACGCAAGCGGCAACACGTTATGGAATACCTAAAGGAACTTTATACGATAACATTCTTGGGAAATCCAGAAGAATGGCGGTACTAGATGAGGCTGGCTTAACAGCCAATGAGGAGAAAGCTGTTTTAGACTTTTGTTGCGAAACAAGCTCCTCTCCTTATAATAGGAGAACTAAAAAGTCACTCCCTGAAGTGTTATCTTTTGTAGAGAAATTGAGAAGAAAGAGAGACCCTGCTTTTAAGTTTATTGGTCTCACTGGTTTTAGATGGTGGTGGGCATTCTGTAAGAAGTATACTATAGTATCGTTGTATTACGATGGTGCGCCTAAAGTTAAACATTTAAAAACAAGCTCAGATAATAATTCTGATGACGATTCTTTGGAAGATTTGAAATTGAATAGAAATGTTCAATAAAATTCTCAAATGTGCCTTATATTAAAAATATAGTTTTTTAAATATTTTAATAGAAACAATAATATTAGTTTAATCCAGATAAAAATGTTCATATACACTAAATGATTACTGATGGTAGGAATAAATGATGTTAATTATTTTGCACATTTTTTATTCTTATTTCTTATTAACAGTTCTTCATTACTTTTTACACTATTCATTGTCAATTGTTAGCTACCTTTTTATGTCCGTTGAATTACTTTTATATTTGTTTTCAATTGTCATTAATTATATTAGTTTCATACATGCATATTGAATAATTTTTGCGCTTCCATGAAGAATCTATCACTAGATATGATCAAATGTTAAACGTATTCTAAGAATTATGTTATTAAAATAAATATTAAGTTGTTCATATACAAAGGTTTGAAGTGCCTTATTTTATGTGATATAATGCATTCGCATTTATATTTGCTTCGAGCATTGAATTTTTAATTAAGATATAAAATAGTTTTTTTAATACTCTCCAAAACCATTGAAAGGATATTAGGCTAATGAACAGACATAACACAAATGTGCTAACAATATAATCCTGCAAGAAATGGCGACAGTAAACCTTAACATTCTATATTCTTCTTCTAATACTCCAAAACCAAACAAATTTTAATCCTTTATTAACGTTACACAAAAAGTTAATCATCGTTTAAAGTTTCATTACTTTTATACGCAGTGTGAAATACAAGTATCACAAATTAAAATGTTCTTTAATAATTATTTATAACAAGGAGACATTTAATCGCTAACAATGATAATGGTATGAGCTGAATTCATCGTCAGCTGCTTAACTGAACTCGTTTTTCATTGATCTGGTAAATTCTATAGTAATAAAAATGCACGCTTGATTGTTACTGTGTAACGGCTGAAACGATCATCATGATGTCATGGGTTTCCATTGAAGTAATACCATAAAATCTATAGCCATCTCCCTTATTCTCGTTTAAAAAAAGAGATAACCGTATTATATGTTAGTATGGGTTTTGTGTCAGTGGATAATACACACACAAAGATATGCATATATTACCTTTTAAGGGGAAACAACTTCGCATAGTTAGATGATGTTTTGACATAGACGACTTCTTTAGTTGTTCATGGATAATTTAGTAATTACGATAATTATTTAAAAAAAAAACACGAGGTAAAATATAATAGAATTTGTGCAAAAGCTCGGGCAACAACTAGTATGTAATAAAAACAATTGAATTGTTAATTTAATTAGATATGAGTGAATTAATTCGCATTGAAGTGTTGCAAAAGTTCAATTTGAATTGTAGGAGCAAAAAGCTTGATAATTAAATGGTTAGAGCGATAAATAGCTCGCAACAAATGTGCACAGCTGTATGTTTATAGATCCTGGAAGGACTCACATCCAGTATGGCCGGTTACACCACTCAATGTTTGACTTTAAAAACTTTACAACTAAAACATAACTAATACTATATTACTTTCGTCATATATCACATAAATAAGCAATAATATGCTCTAAATTAAAATGAATAACGTAGAAATTTTTCAACTTTTATTACAATATTTGTCTATTAAAGTTGAATGAAAGAAATTAAAATATCCAAACGTGTATTTAATATCGCTCGGTTTATATATTTCATAGGCGAATTACTCAAAACATGACATCTGTTATTAATTCTCATTCTTTGCTCTCAAGGATATAAAACAATGGAAAGTTAACGCGACAGACGCGCTAAAATAGTGCGTTATTTTTACAATTGACGCACATGCATACTAGGTCAGGGGTGGTGAACCTTCACGTCTTACCGTGCCATCAAATAATTTTGACTTTTTAGCGTAGCGTAGGTAACTTTGTAGCGTATACTTGTTTCCTCGTGTTCACTCCTCATATTATATTTTTTCCATACTTTTTCGTAGTGCATAATATATAATATTTTGTGATAATTGACAGGCCCAAAATATTGTGTCGCGACCCATTGGTTCGCCATCCCTGTTAGGTGGTTTGATGCAACTTCGCGGAACAACAACTCCCTAGTTCCCTTGCACAGAACCAGAGGGCAAAAGCGATTTAAAATTTACTTTTTTAGTTTAGTATACTAACTGTTGCCCTGTCTTTTTCCATTAAATAAAAAGAAAAACTATTCTATTTCTAACCCAAATTTCATTCACCTCAGTTAATTCTACGTAGTAACAAACAACCATACAAATATTCACATTATTAATAAGAAGGAATAAATGTTATTAAGAAGTTTTTTTTTATACATTGATAACGAAGTCTTAAGGAATGTTTTACTGAAATTATTTCTGTCATTATAATAAATTAGTTCTATACGTCATCCGTTAATTTTTTTTACATTCCTGGTCAGGTTATAAATAGATAATATGGCGACACAATTGTGTCGTTCAAGCGCTCGTACGTGTCTCGCCTACCTTCATTATAATTTACACCACACGCCATAGATTATAATTAAAAGATAAAATTATTTGTGCGCTTAACGAATCTTAATTGAAATCGCTATCTATGTGAGATTTTCTAACTTAGGTAAATCAGTAATATATAATAATTATTAGTAAAAAAAATTAGTCATATCCATGGCATTTTGTTTCAAACCACATCATTTAATTCTACGGCTAATTAACAAATACACAAGGCAAACCTAAATTACATATTCTTAAAGTATAGACATCTGACATTAATAATGTCATCCTTTCTTTTCTGGGGTAGACAGAAAGATAAATGCTTATAGTACACGCTGATTGAAGATTTTCTTATCGGTCAACGAAGTTTTTTAAAATCGGATCAGTAGTTTTTGAGTTCAGGAACAAATAAGAACTATGTTAGTTTGAAATTTTATTATCCTTTCAATGGTATTGGAAGTTATCGGTAAAAGGACAAAGTTAACTAAGTTAAATTATATTTAAGTCGGTGTGGTGTTACATAAAATAATAATTAAGTTTAGATCCGTAAATAAAAATATAAGATATACAGGATGTTATTGTGGTATTTAGTTAAGTTTATATTTGAATTTAAAAAAAAAAGGAATGAAAAAAATATTGTACAATATCACTCTTAGACAACGGTGTATATACGTTGATGTTGGTTTCCACCGCCAAAACATGTTTAAAACAAATCTCAGTCATTTTGTTCTCTTGAAACGCGTAGATAACAGTGTTTTTTAAACAGTTGTTTCATCAATGAAAATGCCATTATGTGTATAATGTATCTATAAATAGAGATTTAGGATATTTTTAGTTGTAGTTTGTAAGTTTAAAATTTCATTTCGAAATCGGAATAGTACTTATATTTTTTCTTGTTTTAAATGTAAAATTGCATTTTTTAAGAGACAGAACAAATACATGCAGTAAATGCTTTAGTTTTATTATATAAATAGGATATGTTTAAATACATAATAAAACTGCAGCTATTCTTGTAGGAAAGGCAACAGAATTAAAATTAAATTAAAAAAATATTTGCAAAAAAAAAATAAAAAATACCAGAAAACATTGCAAATAAAAAAAAACTAAAAATCAAAATAAATTGAATTCATAATTACTGTTTATCTTAAATTTGATATAATATCCAGATAAAACAATTAATTAATTTAAAATCGATTCGTTTTAAGCAGTATATACAAAATTATCTTGGAGCACTAAGTATAATTTGTTTTTTAATTAACTCTCACGTCTATTGATTATTATTATCGAGCGCACGAGTTAAGTAGCAAATTGCAATAAAGATATTGCTTTTGAGATTAGTTGATTTAATTGAAACCATTAAAGAGAAAAACTATAGCCGTGACAGAAAAAAATGATTGTTTACTTTTTTTTTAATTTTCTCGTGTGCAATTTTTTTTATAATTAATTTTTTCTTCTTTAATTTAAGTCGTTACTTTATGTTACTTTGTCCTTATAGTATCCAGTTATACGCAAATATTTTTTCTTTATTATTTCTTTATATTATAGTTCTGTATCCAATTGTTTTCATTTAAAACGTTAGCTCGCGTCAATCAATAAGATCATTTTAAATAACAGATGTCGCTGTAAGCAATTGCGAAAGTTTTTTAATTCATTCAATAGTAAATTGTTTTTTTTTGTACGGTGCGTGTGTACAAGAACCAACCATTGTAATGTCAAATCTATGTCAAAATCAAGGTTTCTTGTATTAAAAAAAATTGCTTCTAACTACCGATTTATATTATATAATTAATAATGTTTAAAATATTTCTATCAGCAAAAGAATTAAAATTAAAATTATAATTTTTGAGTTTATTTTTTTCCTTCTAATTAATTTCTTTTAATTTTTATTAGTATTTACAGGTTACATTTGGAGGTCAGTATGTAGGATTTTTTTTTTGCATTTTTATTTGGTTTTTATAAAATGTCAGAGAAAATAAAATTATTGAATCTATTAATATAAATTAGATATTTTTACAAATAGCAATTAAATTAAAAAATATATATATATTTCTTTGGTTAAATTTTAAGTGATAAAAAATCGTTTAAATATTTGATTTTTTTCATATCAATCCCGTAATTTCTGAAGTTATATTTTTATTTTCTTTGACATAACTATATGATTTTAATTTATTATCATAATTTTTGCGGCCTTAATCTGTGTAACGATGTATTTTCAACCGTTTGTTACACTTTACTGCGTTCACTTACTATATATTAGTTGGTGCTAATAAGATACAGGTTTTGTTCGTTACACTATATGTTTACATATGTGCTTTTAAAATTAACATACTATTCATAAATACTCCTTTTATAGTGATACTAAAAATAAACGATTTCTATTTTCACCAACTTTTAACGTAAATGGAGATGATTCATACCTTACATTAATCCATGTACCATTCCATAAACACTTAGAGTCGTATGTACGCCACTGAAGACGTCCCTTAGTAGAAATTAAGTAAACTAAATGTACACAAAGGGAATTAAGTATCACATTAAACTTTGGCATCTCCACACTTTTATTTGAGAATTGTTCTATTAATTTATTTCTTAAAGTATTAGTAAAAAGTAGTATAGAGTATTCTTAGTTTTACTGTAAGATTATATTAAATTTAAAATATCTTATAAACGTTCAGTTAATCATAATTATTTTTTGAAAACTTGAACTGATTGCAATAATTCATTGTGTAAAATTGTGTAATATTAATTTCAAAAATGTTAATACGTAACGTGGTATTTTCAGCAGATAGTTACCAGTACCAACTGCAGTCGATGTGGCAGAAGTGCTGGAACACCAACCAGAGCCTGGTCCACAACTTGCGATTCCGCGAGCGTGGACCCCTCAAGTCCTGGCGGCCGGAGACCATGGCCGAGGCAATCTTCTCAGTCCTCAAGGAGGGACTGTCGCTGTCGCAAGCGGCTAGGAAGTACGACATACCGTACCCGACCTTCGTGCTGTACGCCAACAGAGTGCACAACATGCTCGGCCCCAGCGCCGACGGAGGCGCAGGTATGTGATCTTATTGTAATCTAATAATGTGACAAATGACAACTATATTACCTCTAAAACATGACCTTGAACACTACTATGACATTTGTACTGTTACATTATGTTGTCTCTGTTATTTTCAAGAAGACTGAAAGGGATGATAAATGCTTCGTCTAAACTAATAGCACGGATATTTGTAATGATATGTTCCTTGCAGTTTTATTAAAACATATTGCTATCTCTATTCATTCAATGATAATAAAAGAGACGAAAGTATGAATTTATGGAAGCTGTTACAGTGTATAGAAATGAATTGAATTATAATTTACTATAGTTCTTATTTGTCACTATTGATAGATTCGAGCTTCTAAAAATCGATACAACGTTTTTAATTATTTGAGTCAAGAAGGCTGTTGATAGTTCAATATTACACAGGTAGACAAAATTAGTAAAATAAATGAACCTTAAAAAATATTTTTTTATGTTTTTTTTTGTTTCACTTCGTCTCTTACTTTGATATTATTTGGACTGGATTTCCTTTACATAATATTGTAAGATGTATCGGGTCCAGCTAGTATATGTATGTTACATAGTTAAAGCGTTTGTGTACAGTCTGGTTGACATGATTGAAACAGTCTGAGGGATCACTCGCAGTCAAAGGTCGGATATTATAATTGAGTTCGATGTTCCTCGGAAATACATCTACCCAATTTATGACAGGTTATTTCGCTCTCATCGACACAATCGACAATTCACATTTTCAACAGTAATATATGAATAGAAATCCGACTTAAAGTATTAAAAATAAAGATTCAAATTTAGTTTAAACAATTAGTTTATATGTCAACTTAAGTAAAGCACGAATGTATGCCAAATAAAGCGTTGTAACGATATCTACGGAAGCACGAGTCGTAATTTTAATATCCATTCCTGCAATTTAATATACCTTATATTAGATAATGCCTGTGCGAAACGATTTATTTCAACGAGCAACGCGCTACGCTCTCTTGCGAAATGTTTAATGGCTAATTCTTAAATACTTAATATTATATATTGTGTTTTATAATTATTTGTAACTTTGTAACTGCTTAATTGTTTTATTTTTTAAAAGCATATAATACTTATTTTTATATCGCCAATATTATTTGTTTTTATTTTATAATTTATGTAATTTGTTTTTATGACGAGTCTTGTTTTTATAACGTACATTGAGGTGTAATAAATGCAGTTGCTAGACATAACAATAAAACCAATGTTTTATATTTACTATAATGCTCCGTAACGTAATTTTGTCGTGTACTTATAACACCTCGAATGTCTGTAAGGATACAGTGTAATATTAATGTGTCGCTCGTGTCTCAGTGGAGCTCGCAAGTCGAGTGGAACGTTGGCGTCAGTTCACGCTTTACTATTCCGCGCCTTTGCAGATCTGAGGCCCAAAGGACGCGGCCGTCCGCAGCGCATCCTGCTGGGCGTGTGGCCCGACGAGCACATCCGCGGCGTCATTCGCGCCGTCGTATTCCGAGACACTCATGCGCACTCCGCTCATCACATCAAGGAGGAGGTCCTTCCTTATCCTTCTATCACGGTCAGTATTGCGAAATCACTGCCGTCTACTTAATCCCACTATTAATGTTTATTCTTCTTGACCCCTGTTCTTTGCTGCGTTTTCCAATATGCCATTGCGAAATTTTGATTGCGTTGCGATATAGCGATTGTACTTTGTCGCCACTTTGCGTGAAACGATATGTGCTACATATTTATGATCGACTAGCGAATTTGTGCCATTGAATTATCCGTGTGACGTTTATAACATTATGGGGGTGGGTGTGTTACAGGATGGCATGACCGTGGGCGTACCGCCGAACGCGTATGGATCAGTGGCGTGTGGCAATGGACGCGATGGCGGCGTCTCACCGAATGCCGCCGCCGCCGCCGCAGTGGCTGCCGTGGCTCACGGACTGCGTCGTCAGATGTGCAACATGGTCGTGGCGGCGCAGAGACCTCCCGATCACCCTCCGCACCTCAGCCTGCCGCCGCTGCCGCTGCAGTCTCCGCGTCTACCGTCGCCGATGTCCGCAGGATTGGAGTCTCCGCTGTGCTCCCCGCCGCCACCGGGCCATGCTCTGGAGCCGCCGAAGCCGGCTGATCCGTTCCGCCCTTTCGCCTCGCCGCGCCCCGATAGCCGCTACAGCGAACGCGATTCGGTCGCCGACCTGACTGATATGGGCCCGCCTAAAACACCGGTGGGCATCGCTAAGAACGGAAAGGATCTCGCTTCGCCATTGCCCGTGAAGATGGAGCTGCCGCCCGGGGAGGCGCGCGCTGAGAACATCTGAAGCGAGGCCGCGGGCGCGGGACCTGCCGTGCCCCAGGGCTTGCCCCAGGGCGTACCGCAGGTAATGCCGCCGGCCATGGCGCACCTGGCGCACGGCGTGCACGTGCCTCAAGGCGCGCACGTGCCCCACGTCGCGCACGTGCCGCATGGCCAGCCCATGCCGCACGGCCAGCCCATGCCGCACGGCTCCCCGCTGCCCGCACCCCCGATGCCCGCTTACCCATACTTCGTACCGAACCGGAATTCCGTCGGTTACTTCTAAACACGATATTTCAAAAGTTACGATCTTATCGATTATCGATATTTTGAAAATTTATGCCGTTTTATTATTTAAAGTGGACTTGCTGTGCAATAAAATGCTTGTTGTTTAGTTTTCCTGTTTCGTATTAAATTTATTTTTAATTTAATTAATTATTATTTTCTAAGTATACTTTCTTTGGTGTACGTGTTCCAGTGACGTAGTTGTTGTAAGCGCGGGCGTCGCGGGCGGCAGACAGGCACGCTTGCCCACCCCGCCCGCGCAGCCCGCTCCTAGTTTGTCACTCGTAAATGTGTAAGCTTAAATTACTTATATAGATCCATGTTTGAAGGTAGGGATATCAAAATTTAAAACATTTGGCCCGTTTCAAAAAGACTGTTCGGTATACCTATTCATTATAAATCAGCTACATACATACTCGTAAGACAAAATTATAAACTAGCTCTAGATGTAATCTTGAATTAAATGATAGACTTCGTGTCATTAGTTGGTGTTGTAAGCTCGGTGTCAATCTGTCAAATGTTGTAGTTTGTATCGCTTGCCGCTCGCTGCGCACTCTTCGTGCAGCGGTTCACGTTCGAGTAGACATAGTGATCGCCAAATGTAATATAGAGTATCCTTAGCCAGTAGTGATTGTTCCAAATGTTAGACTAAATTAGGTGTTCGACGCTGGCCCTTGCTCTCACAATTAACCAAACTATCTCTCCTTCAATTATCCCCATCAGTACTTTAGCGCTGTTTTATTTTCTTTATTAAACAATTTAATTGCCCTTGATCTTCATTAGGACACAAATATTTTTGATTAATCATTTTTGTCATATATTATTAATTTATATTTTTTGTCAGTTTATCCGTTCGGTTAATGAACAGAGGCAATGGGCTCGGCTTCCTTAGGTTTAGAAGCACTGAAATCGCCAAGCGTTAAATATACAATTGAGCGTCTGCTAACTTACTTATCGATTAGCTAGTGTATTAAACATTTCAATTTACTTAGAAGTAGATGTGTAACTATGTGTAGAATTTAATCGTAGCCTACGATGGCACACCTAATTTACCAACAAGCGCACTCTTGTCGCCGAGAGCGGCGCTAGCGTCGCAATCTCTTCATGCCATCGTCGGGAAATCTCTTTCTTGTAAGGTGTACATGTACAAATTTGTTTTACCAACACCTAACCGGATACGGAGTTGTTTTGTTTTATAGTTTCGGCGGGAAAAAAATTGTAGTATCTTCTTGTCGCAAGGGTATACCATGGTTTAGATAATGTTGGCGTAAGTTGTAACGTGTTGAGGTGAGGGCGTGGCCCCGCCGAGCCGGCAGTGGTCGCAGGACTCGCTCGGAAAGCAACTTTATAATAAGTCTCCAAGTGGCCTTGATATCTCACTATTGTTTGGAATTTGGATTGTCCGATTCGGTTCAAGTTTGGAATTAGTATATAAAAAAGACCAAATTATTAAAAGAATACTTTCACGTTTCAGATATAGTGTTGAAACTATTTGGCTATCCTTTTGGAAATAAAGTTATTTTAGGTGAGAAATTGAAAAAAATTATATATAACGGCCTATACGTTTCGGATGAACTGCGTAGATTTTGGTAAATGTTACTACGCATATTTTCTATTATGTAAGTCTAGGCTAATGTTTTCAAAAGTTAAATTAAAAATTTTTGAAAAGTAGAAAGTGCCTTCCAAATTTTTGACCACAGTAAGTGTTGGGACAGGGCGGCGACGATCGGCGGGGAGCGGTCCGTGGCAATGCGGCGGGCGGTCGCGGGGGGCGGGGGGCGCGTCACGTCGCCACCTCCGCCTCCAGCCGCGCGACAACAGCGTCAAGTTGCCACGCGGCCGCTCTGAACGTGCTTAACTATAAAAAGTTAGAATATTGAAAATTCAAAATTATTATATAAAAAATTAAATACATATGACTATTATATAGTAAAAATTATACATGAAATTATATATTTGGCCGATGTGGTTATACCCTGACAGGCAAGCGTTAGTTATTCGGCATCAAAATTGATTCTATATTTGTTTGTAAAGGATGAGAGGATTCCATTGGATAACAATGCAGACATTGCAATGTGCCATTTGTTCGAACGTCAGCGTTCAATTTGTATCAGATTTGGTTTTCGTAGTTGTAATTAAACATATATTAATTTATTATACTGGATGGAAAATAAACATTTCGATTAAATTAAATTAAGTGATCTATATTATTTTCGTGATAGTTAAGTAAAGATAACATGTAGTTATATGACACCTTAACCTAGGAGGCGGTTTTGGTTGGCAACTATAAGTACTACACGTTTACTTATAGTTTAAATATAGCTAATTAAAATCATTACTGGCGACTCGCACGGTGCGACGCTCGCCTACGTACTGCATGACAACTCCATAACACCTAGTATCTTTTGTTTTGTGATAAAAATATATGTTTAAATCGTAGGAGCTTGCGCACATTTCCGCGCACTCTTTTATTTAGTAACTAATTTCTATTACAAAATATTTATTTTGTTTCGTGTAAAGTTACTACCGCCTTTTATGGGCTCAAACTATTTACACTGAGAACTATCAAATAACCAAAAAAAAAGGTTCTTTTTAATTGTTTTGTTGCAATTCTAATTTCAAGTGACTGTTTAGTTTTAAGTGACGTTACTCCTGATGGGTATCCGTGTATTTATAACGTTAAGGTACCTTCATTGCTTTCGGCTCTAATAAATGATTTTATCCATATCATATTTTGTTGCGTATGTGGTGATCGTATTTATAAGAGATGTTACAGCTTCGTTTCCCATAATCTCGTATACCTTTACTTTCTTATTGGTGTACCAAACTATTAAGCAGCTTACCACATGGCAACAAAATGTTCATTATCATATATTTATAAATAATTTAAGTTATAAAAATGTTTTAAAATGAGAATAGGTTTCGATATGTAACGTCGTTATAACGATTATGTTAATATTCGATTATTGTTGTTAAGATTTTTTTCTCTTTAATTATCCGTGCTCCTGATATCATTGTACGTTAAAATAATAATATTTTTACATTTTCTTTCTGATCAAAAGATATTTCTTGCATGTAAGATATAATGCAACGCGAGCGCCTTCGCGCTGACAAAATGAATGTCTTAGAATCACAATAAGCTGTCTTCGATGTCAGAATGTTAATCATTTATCTAATAGTGATTACGATGTTATCTCAGTGTCATTATTTATAAACTGTTAGTGGTAATAATCTAGTGATATGCCTACACAGTATCGTATTAATATAGTGGATTCGTTCGGATGTGCTGAATTTTCGCACTAAACGAAATTTCTTCAAACTTTGTCTATTGTCAAGTACAATTTATGCGAATTGGTGTATTTCATTGATGTAACAATTTATAATGCATGTCATGTAGAACAATAACCAAATAAAAGATTGCAAATTGTTTAGTGGCGGTTTATCTCATTAAAATTATGTGTAGTGTCTGTATTAATTGCATTCAGTAATATTTAAGTTCGTTATTGTCACATTGTACCGTTGTCTGAATGAATATATAAAATAGATCAAATAATGTGGTTTCATTTCAATATTCCTACACCCATACCCAATATATATAATTCCTATTCTTTGTAAGTAATATTACTAACAACTCGTTTATGCTATTACGAATTATTAAAAGACATATAAAATTACAGACATACAGTCTGCTCGTTGACATTTTAAAGAGGAGGAAAAACCTAATAATTTTAGGTCGTTATCTATTTTATTATAAATGTATACAATATAAAACAATAAACAAACTTCCAAATTCTATAGTAAATTTAAACAATGAGATAAAAACATACAATCGATAAATACTACTGCAGGTTTCCATTGTTGAAACATTACTACAGAAACTAAATTATCTCTTTACATGGAACATAGTGTCTTTGTGCGTATTATTCTTCTTCTACGATTACCATTAATACTTTTAATATTTAAGAAAGTGCTAAATTGAAAAATATTACTTATAAGAACTTACTAGACCGTTCATAGATGGCGCTATCCATCTGTCACATTCTGGAAGTATTTTTCGTGGAAGCGCCATCTTTACTTAAACATTTGAACCTTTTTCACAAAAGGCCAAATACGAAACTTTATGCCAATTCATTGTCTATAAACACTTCTACGTCATATTTTTTCATTGCTCAATGTATTCTACTACTGCTAATACACGGATAAATTGTTTTTAGACTTTTTGTATGAAAAAATGTGGTTAAAATATGAGACGTTACTGTTCTTAACTAAAATTTTTAGATTTAGCTATAAAGTTAGAAGAAATTTTATAATTTATTTTTAAGAGTACTGAATGATTACTATTAAAAATATAACTGTATTAGATTTCTGTTATATTAGAAAATATATAAAAGATTATATGCTATGAAAACGTGTAGTATACTGTAGAGCAGAGGTTTGAGATGAAATAATAAGACACAGTTTTTTCGAATTTCACTTCTAATTAACATAAATTTTACAAGTCCTATATACGTGGACGTTTAACATACTGTTACTATATTTATGAGTATTATTTTCAGGTGACACTGGTATACACAACTAAATTCAACTCATTTCACATTACAAGTAAATGCTAACTTAAAAACTAAAAATACACAAAAAATATTACACTTAAAAAAAGCAAAATAAAACCAAAAAAAACTTGAAAACAATTTGACTTTATTTTAATTATTACAATAAAAAGCAAGTTACGGACAATGACAAAGTGTAACAAGAAAAAAACATTATACCAAACATGTCAGCTTCTTTCAAAATCATAAGAAAGTGTCATTTGACGGCAAAATGCCATATTTAAATTAGCTTACAATCTCTAACATACTAAACGTTACACATATCTAATACATATAAAAATGGTATATTTTAATAAGATTCTAGCAATGAAATGTGTGGCCAATACACAGTTTTACTACTCAAATACATTATTTCAAATGTATAATATATAAGGTAATAATGGAGATCACAACACGACTACCTGACAATCGAAGCAGGGGATTTCTGCGTTCTTAATACTATAGTCGATATGAATGATGAAGTCACATTTATTCCTACATGCACTTATTGCTCAATTTATTCAAATGAAATGATTATCCTACTGATCAAAATAATAAATAAATAATTGTGATGTAATTTAATAATAAATAAAAAAATATTGTGATGTACATCAAATTCAAACAATTGATCAATAAATAGTTTTACAAATTGTGATGCAATTTGGTCAAATTAATAAAAAAAATACATATAAAATATTGCAGTTGACATTTGAACCTGGACATGCATTATAGTGTCACAATCGTGTCTGGCCCGGCAGGACTTTATTGGGCATACAAATTGATATAAGACATTGAAATATGCTATTAATACGAGCCAGAAAAGTTTATCCCACTATAAAGAATGTCGTTAAAAGAACGATTATAATAATTATAACACAGGCACAAAAAACTTATTCTTTATGAACACAAATAAAATGAGGAAAAATTTTATTTATTATAAAATTATTGATATTACGTTTAGATTAAATTTATTACAATTATTTTGTTTTCTACATCAGGCTATAGTTTATAAGCGATTTAGATAAAAATGGCTAAGCTATATCCAATAGATTAACGTTTCATTATTAGTTATTCAATATAGTACAATACAAAGACTGATGGGATCCGAGAAAGCGATTTAGTGGCTATAAGACATGTATTTATAACATGAGAAAAACTTAGAACTAAAACAACTTAATTAGAGAAGACCTCGATGTATTTGGCGGCTAAAAAACTAAATCGAAAAATTCGGCGCATTTACATATGGCCGCTTCAAAAACACAAAGCTCGCTCGATACGATGGTGGGTAGAGTTACAGTAACTACATTTCAATACATTTATTATTATATTATACCTATGCTTCAGTCTTCATTTAATTATTCTTTATATCAGCCACAGTAGAAGACTCGTGAACCACGCCTGGGTGGTCACAAACTAAACGTTTGATTGTATATATACATTAACACAGCTACATTTGGATGTGGCCCTCACCGCACTGTAAGATTTGCTCTCTCGACTCTATCATCGTCAAAGATCTTTTGCACTCGCCCTAACAGTCGCGATAAAACATGTTTCGCAACATTATATAAAATGTTGGAACGCATGATTCACATGACATTTATACTACTATCATTATTAAAATGGATAATATGTTGAATATTATTATGCGAAACACAAAGTAATTGATTATTTTTTTTAATATTGAATAATAAGATAATTTATGGTAATGCAATGATAAATATATTATATTATGCTAAGAGAAATAATACATGTGTATGTCAAAATACAAATACTTAACAAATTCAATGAAATTTTTTGTAATTTGTAAATGTGTATATAAAATGTATATTGCCTAGTCATTTTGTTATGTCATCGTTAAAAAAATTAACAATCAATGAATCGTTTATAAGATTCAAAAGTAATAATAGAGACAGCTCATAAATTTGAAACAGAATAGTCACAAGCTAATAGGGTAAAAATATTGATACTGCGGTCATGAAAAACATAACATCGCCACTAAATTGTGGCAAAGTCAATAACTATCAACAGATTATATCAAAACAAACATATATCCTAATACTGCTTACATTTAAGCAGAAATAATTACAAAAAACTTTATTATGATACAATTAACCAATACGAGTGTAAAATGCCCAAAAAATAGTTTAAGACACGATAAACCGAGTTTGTACTGCGAAACACTCATAGAAAAACGTGATGCAACATCACTTATTCTCCTAATATAAGTAGAGATATGTTTTTATACGGGTACTTCGGCAATGGAAACTCAAGGTAACCATAAATTGGAAATATGTCCAAATTGTGAAAAATTATTGCCCAAAATTTCAATCGTCATTTCATTAAAAATAACAATGTAAAAAAGTGCCTTAACAATGATAAAACTTAATAACTAATATCCGACACGGTCAAAATTCTTTGGGATAATGAACCATTCAACAATATTACAGGAATTTGGCTACACATGATATACAATTGTGCCATCATTTCTTGCTACAGATTACAATTATTGAAATATTCTACAATTTACTACTACATTTGAATATATGTTATGGTATGTAAATGGTATCGTAAGAATGCAGGTAATCAGAGTACAACATGGATACACAGACGAAGTCCTTCAACAACGGTGTCAGGCCCGGTGGGTACTTCGCACACAACTTAAACGTCCTTCCGTAACACACAACGCATCCCTCTTACAAACAACTTTATTCTAAGTACGATGTTATCTTTGAATACTATTTACGGTGGAAATTGATCTAACACGGAACACGTGATAATTCACTAAATCAGATTACATTTACTATATCAGCTAGATGTTTGTGAAAGGTGAGGGGAGCGAGTTGTTTAGCAATGCCACGGCGCGTACAAGTTGACATATCGGCGCATAAGGCGCCGGTTGAGCTGATGCTATTCATCGCACTTCCTACATGTGCCGGCCACGTCGAAATCGAGGAGGAGAAGCTTGGTCTCCTCGGTGCCATTGCGTGAGCCGACGGCGCAAATCAGTTTGGTGGCGGAGGCACGAATGCGCCACACCACGCCTCCGGACCCGCCCGAGCTGAGCTCTACCAGGTTACGAATGAATTCGCCAGTGCGTACATCCCACAGTTTCACCGTGCCGTCGTCAGATGAAGTAATCACAAATCGGTTGCTCGATTGCAGGCAAGTCACTGCTGACTGGTGTTTGTTCGGCCCTGAAAATGTTAAATGTTAGTTTAAATGTTTGTTCTCTCTATTTAGGAAAGTAAAGATTTTTAAAAGCATTTTGCTCAAAGGCTAAAATTGCATTAGTTGATCACAACCATAACTGTACTTGTTTAAGTCATGTAAAAATATTACACTTAGTGTATTGGTAAGATTTGAAGCATCGCTCACCAGCTTTCTCCACTTTTGTTTTTAATTGTTTATAGTGTAATTTACCTGACAATGTATGCAGGCAATGACCCGAGGAAATGTCCCAGACTTTAACAGTGGAGTCAGCGTTTCCGGAGACCAGAATGTTGGAGTGCAGCTCCATGCCGGAGGTGAGCGACTGGTGGCCCGTGAGGGTATGCTTCAGCTGACCAGTCTCCACATCCCACACACGGATCGAAGTGTCCAGAGATCCACTCACCACGTGGATACCGTCAAACTTGAAAAACATAATGACTTGATAATTTGCAATATATCACATTATAATTATAAAAAACAGTAATATTTTTTTGTTTATAGGCTAATTATTCTATAATTGCTTTTTTAAATATTTTTTTATTACAATATATATTAAGTCGCAACAGTTAACTTACCTGAAGACTATACACACGGTTGGTGTGTCCAGCGAGAGTATGGAGGCAGTCTCCGGTATCCGGATTCCATACTTTGACGAAGTAGTCGTATGCACCGGAAACGACCACTTTACCGTCGTACTGAACGCATCGCACAGCCGCAAGATGGCCGACGAGGACGCGCAGACAGCGACCATCCGGTATCGACCACACGCGCAATGTCGCGTCACGGGAACCCGACACAACTCTATAATAAAAACATACTTTATCAGTTACAATTAAATGTTATTTAAATATTGAAATAAAACCACTAACTATGACGGATTTATTTATTTAGGTTTTAATGATATAGAATGGTATGATCAAACACGAACTTTAGGGTAAAAATAATAATTAAATAAACAACAGCGCACAGCGTGTTCTCTTTAAATTAATACTGCCTCAATCAGGGTCGTTTGAAAGTAGTATTAGCAGCCCTATAGTGTAGGTCTTACGACCCTGAGTGCAGCAGTTAAAATTTAAGAAAACATATTAAGTGATTATCGCTATTGAATAAAATGCGCAATAACCAGATAAATTGCAGAATTGTTACTGGTATTTATGGAGGACAGAAGAAAATAGAACTTTGTAGGAAGGAAAAGGAGAAATACATAAATGATTTAGGAAGCAAATGTCTTATTATAAAAAATACTAACTTCAACGTATTTCCCTCAATAGACTGAAATTTGATAACTAATACATTGAAAAGATAAAGTGTGATCAGGTGAAAAAGAAAATGCCTTAGTAATTTTAAAACCAATATACACACAGCCGACATAAGAACCATGTCATATGCAATGCTTATATTTATTATTAAAGAAATAAAAAAAAGTTAATCTTAATTATTTGAGTTTAATTTTTAACACAATACAACAATGATCACTTGACACCATTTTTAAATAGGTTAATACCTATTAATATATATAAAGTTACTTTGTCTAATCATTTCATTATTAAAAATGCTGAGCAAAAGACATCGCAATAGCAAAATTAGCAATTTTGAACTATTTAAAATAACAAACTTTCGCAAAGTATAGAAGTATTAAAGAACAATTTCAACAAACAAATATTTCAGTTACCTATGACTTAATATTACGCTTAGTTAAAATCTTAATTTCATTGTCATACCATCCCATACAAGTATGACATATTTAGTAATTTCTTTATAATAGTCGCCAGCGCATAGTCATCCAAACGTAGCCGTTTTACTAACAGTAACAACTAAAGTTTTTCGAAATTAATGTATTAACTAAATCTTAAATCTGACAATTGGTTCATCTAAGATATTTCATAAAGATAAAAAATAAAAAATATTTTTAACTCGCACAAAAGCTGAATTAATTTACAGTACAAACATATCCAACCGTGTATTTCCACTGCGGGAACAAGTACAAAAACAAAGTCATCATTTTGTTAGAAAAACCTAGATATTTTAGTATGAAAATTTCGACCGCGTAGACTAAAAATATTGTAAAAAATAGCCAGCAACGTACCTATTCTGGTAAAGATGCATGCATCGTACAGTCGAAGTGTGACCCGCGAGAACTTTAAGACATTGTCCCGTGTTAGCGTTCCATACGCGCAGGGTACGGTCAGTTGAGCCACTAATCACCAAATCTCCTACCATCTGAGACGACCAAACACCCCCGGTATGACCCACCAGAGTATGAAGACACTGAAAATCAGAAATAAATATTGTTTATTCATTCACATATTAAGCTTTTAAATTGACGAAACATTACCTAACTACTGTAATTAAAATAAACAATACTATTCTTGAGAGATGATGGCAATTATTACAAATAATTTAAAGACGAAACATAACTCTTAGCTGCAGTTCCAAGAGATAAGGATGCTAAGACAAATATGGTCGTGGTAAGACTGCGCATGGCAGTTTTTATACTAATAATGATATCTATATAATAGAATATAGAAAACATCCTAAAATAATATGATGAAAATGTATCTCTCAAAAATAGTTATTTAAAAGACCTAGTAAAATGTGTCAACCAGCTTTATTACAGCTATTTTGGCCTCAAAAGGGAAACAGAATATCAATTGTATTTTAATAATAAAATTTACCTAGATTGGATTTCAGTTTACGCGATGGTAAAGCGGTTGAGGACATTTACTAGTTATTTACCTCACATTATTATTATAAATTAAAATCTGATGTAAATGTAAAAGTTAGTAAAATAGGTTTTATAACAAATATCATTCCATGACTAACATTTTTCATACAAACACAAAAGCCTTTAATCAATCGCTAAAGACGTCACATAATTTTTACACATATAATACTATCTATTAATTAAACCTTCACATTGGTTACAGGTTTGTTTAAATAAAATAATAGAATATAATAAATAATATAAGTTTCAATATACAAAATACAGATCACCGCCGAAAATAATATAAAAAAATAAGACAATTTCTTACAGACTTGTAAGATCTTCGTAAAACAAGGGAACTTCATAGAATCTGCAGTCCATGGAATTAACTGCCACACTCGATCACCTCGTGCAATGTTTAATGTATTAGTTATATACAAAATTCGTAAGACAGAAAAATAAACATTTAATTTACTTTTATTCAAACATTGTTTTCTTTAAACAAAAAAGAAAAGGCAAAGGAGAATTCAATTAGCCTTTGGAATATAAAAAGTAGTTGTTAATTGGCAGAGCATCGCAAAACGACTAATTGTCGAAGGACACTGGCTGATTAAAACTTTACAATTTATTCTAATTGTCAACAAAAGTATCTAGTTACCAATTATATTTACCAAATATATACATTTTGATATTAAATATATGTATAAAAATGCAGTTACACGTTCCTATCGTCGGAAACTGTAATTTGACACGTTCTACAAATGCATAGTAATCCGATACGATCTAGATGCGTCCGTATATCATTTAGTTTACTTCATTTTTGTTTTATATGCGAACGTGTGTTTAATTTGCATTTGGCTCATAGAGTAATTTCTTTTTAAATTATTTATTGGTTTTAAGTTTATATAATTGCGCTCATATTATTTTAGACTATTTAAAACTAGTGTATATTAATGTTTAGGCAAATTCTTTATCTATTACTGGCCAGTTGGAAGAGATTGAAAGTGCGATTAAAAAATAGTGACACAACTTATATTTTTTATAATTAAGGGGCAGTGTTAACACGAGTATCTTAATAGTGTTAGAACATAATAAGTGATGAATTCACAAGCATGTAAGTGTTGATATATGGATGTATGAGATTCTAGAAAAGCGAGATCATAGGTTGCCCATACCGTGAGTACATATTGATTTTGAAAAAAAAAAATATATTTGGAATGTCTCAGGCAGTTTATAAAATGACTGAAAACACACCAAAATTGTGAATTATCCCGTCAATATAATGTTGATCATATTTAATACCCATAGTGTCTTTAAAAATAACCCAAGTGTACCATTGTTCGGTGACACACAATATCTTCCAATTCAATAAAAACAATATTCAAATACTGAAACGTTTCGTGTGGAAAATTCCATTGCCACAATGTTCCTGAATAATAGATTTTAAAACAGGGTGACAGATAAGCAATACATTTAGCATTCGAATGGCGATGTTGTCAATAACAAATGGAATGATCTCGAAACATTCAAATATATTAATGTTATTTTTTCAGCACAAAGCAATGTATGATATTCCATGCAAATTTATTCGTCAGTTTATTATTTCGCATAAGTCTATTGAAACGATGGTAAGCTTTTCAGCGATCAGACAAAGAATATATTTTGTCTTTCTTTAGCTGACTTCAAAAAAGAGGTTATCAATTGATCTGGGTTTTTTTTTATTTGGTGTACAGAATAACCATACCGCACATTTGACAAGCATTTGTATCACATATTCATAAAATAAAATATATATAAAAAAAATATTTTTTATTTTTATTTCAGTGATTAACAAACTATAAAAGGTAAGAAAGAACTAACCAGGAAAATAGATAACCATGCCATGTTGTGAAAAACTTATGATAGTGCAAATGCGATAATTTAAAAATAGGAATTCTTTATACCGAAAACATGATTATTGCATAATATTGAAATCATATTACCTCAACACTCCAATGAGCCGACACTTGGATATTACATATTTTAATTCATATTGCCGTCTCTTACATTATCTTTGATAAAATAGAGACAACATATACTTATACAAGTTTAATTACAGTTAAATGTAACACATAATGATTCAGTTCTTTAAAATTCGATATGTTAAAATGTATAAAAAAAGCGAAGAAAAAAAAATATCCAATTTTTAACAGAGAATAAGTCTAAAAAGCTCGATTTAACTGACATTAGTTAGAAAAATTAACATAGATGTAGAATGTTGCAATATCAAAGGAGACTGCGGATCTAGACAAAGTGCATTCGCTCCGAAGCGATTCTATAACGAACTTCAAAAATGTATGGAACTGATGGGCGACAATCACATAACATATCCAAAGTTCGCTACGGAACCGCTTCGAAGCGAATGCACTTTGTCCACTCCAGCTGAAGGGTATTCATGAAAAGTTTTCTATATTCTTGGCCAGACAACACAAACGACCGAAACAATAGAATTAACAATACCGGAACTAAAAACAATGTAATGAGTAACAAAACATAAAAATGCTGAAACCTATATTAATTCTAGATATAGCTTAGATGTTCTATGTAATATATTGAAAAAAAACATGCAAAATCAAAGCAATAAACCTTAATATCAAACGATTTAACATATACAAAGACTAAAACAAAAAAAAAAACAAAAAGTGATATCTATGACCATATATCATGAAATCAATGAGAAATGAGCTTTTTAATTAATCAATAGTTTTAAAACAAACTCATTTAAATCCATTTCTAACAATGCAGTAATATATAGTCTAATTCAATAGACATAAAAAAAAATATAAAATAACCTATGTAGGCTGTAATTACAGACTTCAGACATGTTTATATAATCAATTAAATCATTGACACTTTTTAAAATAAATCCATCTTAATCAAATGCGATGCGATTTGGAAGATGCTAATACTGCACGAATGAAGTCGCGGGCGACAGCTAGTACACATTTAATGACGTTTATCAGCCAGTAACATGTGTCAATTAATTTCTCATTTCCTGAATTTGACTATGTACTTAGCTAAATAAAAGATTTTAATAATACATTAACATTTAAATTAATAAAGAACCACAGATCTTTTTTTGCGAGTACGAGAATAAATACATCTTTTCATACCTTAGCAAGTTTAAGGTACTTTATTCTATATAACTGAATTAACAAAAAAAACTTAGTTTTTTTATATGATAATTAAAATGGCACAATACCTCAGTAAATTATTTTAAACCTGAGCAAGAGAGCCATTTAGCGGTAAAAATATAATAACAAAACATATTTCTATAGACAGAACAAATGTTATAACTTTTTGTTTTAATGTACAATTTTGTTATTATTTAATCAAAATTACCGTGGGCTTCCACTGTCGAAGCTCCAAGAGTTAAACACATATTCCTATAGATTTCATCTTACTCTAACCTAACAAGTTTGTTGGTGTTTCGACAGTGGAAAATTACGATGATGTTAAAACTATTAGAAAGGCGCATAAAATAGTAGGAACTTTTCAGATGCCAGTAGTAATATTATTTCCTGTAATGTCTCAAAATGACAATCTTTGTTTAACTTTATCACGGTTACGTACCTTTCCAGAATTAGCGGACCACAATTTCAAAGTAGTATCGTCACTGCCGCTAAGAATACGGTTCCCTTGGAACTGCAGGCAGGTTATAACGTGATCATCGTGTCCACGCATTATTATTGGGTTCAGGACAGACTTGTTCATCCAGTTGTTCTCGATAATTGTCTGACTCATATAAGTAGCCTTCCAAGGGCTCGCAAACCGAGGAATGTTACGTGGTATCTTCTTGAGTTCGGTGATACCAGCACGACGGCATTTCTCCTTCCAAAGCAGGTTGTCATCAGCAAGAAATCTGCAAGATTCCTTCACTTTGTACCCTTAATTGTTAAATGTAGTGGAATATTTGGATATTCTTCGCGCGTTACCACTACCAAACACTGATAGAAGAACACATTGTAATCTCAAAGTAAAAAAAAACAATATGTTAAATCCACAAAGAGAGCTTTGGATGATGATTGTTAGGGAATATTGTCAAAAGATTTAATTTAACTTGGATAGAAAACAAATTTCGACTTGTTTTCAAGATCTTTCATGTTACTTTGTATTTTTCAGGTCAGATTATAATATCAAATGCAAAATGAGCGACGGTCGTATATATTTGATTTATATTCAAGTCAACAACGGAAAAACCCCGCATTTTGAGAACATGTATTTGCAATGTATTTATTCAGTCTGCTATCCAGGGTTACGACTGCGCAAGATGTGAAAAAAAATCTAAAGAAAAGAAATACTAGGGCTAGTAGCTAAGCTGTTTAATATAACACGACAAATTTTTACAATGTTGAAAACTACGTTATTCAAATTATCTTTATGGTCAGACAAATAAAATTATCATGATTTGAGGCAAAAAAAATATTTTTTGTCCTATTTTACTTTTGTTTGTCTCGCTTTAACGTGAAAACTACTGAACCGATTTAAATGAAATTTGGCACATCGATTATCTAGAGCCTAAAACGGGACATAGGGTATTTTTTAAAGCGAAAAAAGGGTCGTAAGAAGTTGAAAATGCTTTTTGTCGTCGTTAATTTGTTATAAATAAATATCACGTTCAAATCTGGTAATAATTTTACCCTTAAGGGTGCAAAATAAGAATAGTGAATAGAGGATAAAAGTTTGTATGGGTATATGTAAGGTTTATGTGAATGTTTTGTTGTATGAAGTTTAAATAAAATAATTAGCCTAAGTCACTAAAAATGGTACCCAAAGAGAGTATTTCACGCGAACGAAGTCACGAGCACAGCTAGTAAGTTACAAATATGCTCTGTGACAGAAATTCAGTCCATATTTTGTTTAACAGAAGAGTTATTTTCATGAATTGCATGTGAATAATGCTTAACACTATATTAAGATATTCGTCGACCTCGTCATCGTCGCCGACGCACACAACAGCCAACGTGATCCCGCCCTGTGGTGTTTCGCGATACGAGCCCAAATGCGCAGTACCAAATGCGACGCGACCGCGAATGCAGCCTGACAATGTTGCGAAATCATCCTGATAGAGGACCACTCAACTGGTCTGAAACTAGTCGATACCTACACCATACTACAGGTGAGTTTAGTAATTTATAACTTATTATATTTATATTGCTTAAATTCATAAAGAATTTCTACGTGTACTTCATGAAAACGACCAACAAAATTTTTTTTTTTGTACTTACCTCCAATAACGGCAAGTCTGAGCAGCCATGAGAAGGTCCTTTGGCGACAAGTAGCCCAGTACAGTAAGGGCAAGCTCTTTTGGCAGCAGTGAGATAAAGTCACGTTGGAATAATGGCTCAATTGCCTTCATCATATAGCGTACATCACTTGCAGCACAACGGGTAACCAAAGCATCAATCGCTAGAGTCTTCTCTTTGGTTGACCATGTTTGAAATCTAAAATTAAAATAAAGTGTTAAAGTATAAAAAAATATTATAATAATTTAACCGGGTTCTTTCCTTTTTTTTAAAAGCCAACTTAATACTTTTTTTTAGTCTTGTTTAAAATATGAAGATACCGAACAATAGACATTAAGCATTTAAATCATTGTATTTCTTACTAATATTATCGATGTAAATGTTTGGATGTATGTATGGATGGATATTTGTTAGAAGGTACCTCCATCAATCTCCACGGATCTTGGTGAAATTTGGCATAGATATAGAATTTATTTGCTATTACTTTATTTGTTTTAATTCTGCGTGGAGAAAGTCAGTGGTAATACGTATATCTTAGAAATAGAAATGTGGTATACTTTTAGTAACTTTACCTATGAAGCCACTGTTTGAGCTCCGGTGATGCCTGCACCTTCTGAGCTATAATATTTGGATTTGTTGTGTTTGGCTTGCATTCCAATGTAGCTACTGCTGATATGCCTCCATCAGTACAAAACCTTTTAATTGTGTTTTGTGGTGTTGATTCATACCGACGTTTGCACTGTAAACAATGTTACTATAATGTTATCAAATCCTATCCATTAACATGTCCAACGGCACATTTTTAATAAGCCAAGTCAGTAAATAAACATTTTATTGACTAGGCTTTACTTTTGATATGATTACTGCGCATGATATAACAAATTAATACTAGCCATATGTTTGCGAAATGGTGTTATTTAAAAATATTAAGAACTTACCCCTGCTCTTTGATCTAGATCAAGCTCATCATCTTCATCATCATCCTATATAAGAAAATTAAACATTAAATGAATTAGCCTGAAGAGTAATTGATTATGAATTTAATATAGCAATAGGATTGTATTTTTGTTTACGCTGTTATGATAAAAAAATATCCTATCAGGAGTTATATTTGTGTATAATTTATTCTACAATAATAAATTCTGAATGAATCATATAAAATGTCCAAGTATCAAGTGGGCTCATATGTTTTGCTAGCGCTTTGCGATTTATTATATGTTGGTTTTTTATGTGTTAAACTTACCGCGTGAGGTGAGTTACAAGTGCACCGCAAGTTACCAACTCCGATTTCGTCGTCAGAATCGTCCTCGTCCTCGGAGTATTTGCGCAAAAAAGACTGAAATACAAAGAATAAGCCGTGAAATAATTACATAATTATTACAAACTAATATCATTTCAAGTTCTAAAAATTATAATTTCAATTTTTTACGGTTAAATAATCGCTTATTAAATTATGATGAAATATCGAAGTATTTTATTTTTATTATAACTTTAGGAAGTTTATTTAATTGTCTTTATTTTTAAATTATTATATCTTTAATGTTTTCTAAACAATAAAAAAAATTTGAAGACGTCAATTAGGTATTTCCAAGTCCAATTAATTATATATCTTTTATTATATGATTATCTATCATTCAATGTATGAAACACATATTATGTACATTGAATGATTAAACTCCGCGCTCCTCAGGGCCAACCGTAGCTTAGCTGTCGTGCGCCTAGACTAACGGATCGAATAAATCGCACAGTTTTTAAGGAATCGCAAATGTAAAACGGCTTCTATATCACGGGTTTTTGAACTTTCATATTTTAATGTTTCTTTTGACGAGTGTGTGCGTATGTGATTCGACTTTTTTACCCGGCTACGGTATGGTTAGCAAAACATACCGGCAGATGGCTTTTTCGACAGTCAACAGAGGTTTCATCCCAAGACTTACTTCAATTTACCAAAAGTATATGAAAATAAAAGGGACCGAAAAACTAAACATCATACGTAATTAAAAAAATTATAGCACTCACCGATGTTACAGTGTGGTGAGAGTTCAGACCGCTGCTCCCAAGGCCGAGGAGTCTTTCTGCATTAGATGTCGATGGTACACTAAATCCACTACTATCAGAACTGGAGCTTGTGGCTTGGCTTGTTTGTCCAGATGAGCTGCTCGCACTCTCCATATCAGAACTATCTGCAATCTCATTATCACAGTCACCTTTATAAAGTTTTCCCCTCGGAATGTCTTTCTTTTCGGGTATTCCACTATTTAATAACTTTTCCATAAAGTCAACCTTTTTTGTTTCTTTGCCAGTAGAAAATCCTATTGTCTGTTCATGATTTAAATATTTGAGTGGTATATCACAGTCTTCAATGTCATCAGACTTACTGCATCCCGGTAGATTTGATTCGTTTGCTGTGAAAGTTGATAATGTAGAAATTGTCTCGGAACTTGAAGCCAGGCTGGAATTAATACTTGACAAATTTCCTGAAAAGTGTGATGATGCTGTAAGTTCCCCCTCCATCATCAAATTGGAACAATGTTTGATAATACGATTCTCTTCTTCAAAGTCTTCACGTTCAATGTCATCTATGCGCTCTCTGAAGCAGGGATTTGTAGGTTGTTCCACATTATCAGCATTAGCACCATTATTTTCATCCATTGCGTTTAGAAATTATTGCTTGTCGTACAAATATATATCACATATAATCACAAATGGAATGTAAATATTGCTGCTTCCATGACAATTCTATTCTAGCATTGATGATAATTAGATAATTTTAATAATTCACAAAGTTCCTGCAAAATAAATATTAATTTAAATGTAACATTTACTAATATTTTGATGACGAAATTATGAAATTTAATAATGATTGTGGTGTTAATTTTTTTTCCTTCTATTAACTTGTCTTACAATTTTGCTAATTGTGATGGTAAAGTTAGGTTGTTTGAAAAATAGTTACTATTGGTGGTTCAGTTTTTTTTTTTAATAAAAAGTTACATCTATAGAAGTTTAAATATAAATATGTATGACATCTGTTGTAGAGAATAATTGTACTAAAGGTGGTCACAACATAATTATCTAGCAGTAGGGCAACAATATATATCTTTGAATTAGAATTCTATTGAAAATGCACCTATTTTTCAAATGATACTGTGGGGTAAAATGTTACCGAAGTATGCATTATTGCACAATTTAAAAATTGCTTGTCTTATAACATAAGATAGCTTAGCACATTTCGATTGTATAACTTTGAATTTGGATGTTACAATATGAAATAATGCTTAGTTCAAGATATTGTACAGTCAGCTGCATAAACATTAACACTCCAGAATTTTTTATATGTTCATATGTTTATGAATATATGATAGTGATGGCTAAATACATAACTATATATTTTGAAATCGAAGATGTACATAAATAATTTAAAGCTTAGTAAATGTATACAAATGTATAGTAAGTGAAGGTGACTGTACTTGGTAGTGTTACATCAGAATGAATCATCAATAAAAAAAGCAAGCAAAAATACTGCAATCAGTTACAAGATATTGGTATTACCATATTTTTACATTGCAACATTGCAGTTAGGCCTTTAATTTTTTTTTATATTCACAAGTATGCAAAAAATAATGATAAAACCTTATAAATACTAAAAAGGTTTTATTTTGACTAACTGTAAAATGTAAATTCTTTGAAACAAGATTTAAACATAGCATTTTGATTACATAGTGAAATTTAGTAATATTTATTAAAGAAAAAAGTGTGTTCAACTTATTGATTAGTTTACAACTATTAGTTTACAACTATAATGTACACTTTTAAATTAACATAATGTAAACAATACAAATGATAACATGGTTTTGTAATCTTGTTGGGTGGCATCAGACAAAAGTTAGTATCTGAGATCATCTCTTCATGGAAACAATGAAATGTAATTTAATGACAAAGATACATGCACAAGGCTGGTAAGAAAAGCAAGATGGCTGATTTAAGTGCTAATATATTGAAGCTGAAAATTTGCATTTCTTTTTAAAGAAATTGCGCAAAAGGTTAAACATGAAATTTTACAGTTTTAATGTGAAATGAACAAATGCCTGACACTATTTATAAACAGAAGTGGAATAAATCTTCATAAAAAACCATCTTCATTTTCAATTAAATTTATTAACAATTTCCAATCTTATTAAAGTTATAAATGGAAAAGTTTAGTTAGATGGATGTATGTCTGTTAGAATGTATCTCCGGAATGGAGACATTCTCGACTCGCTCATTTAATCCACATCATAACTTTTTGTAGATACATATTATAAAATTTTAGGTGAATTTTTTCTCTGGAAATTTATAGTACTTCTTTAGTATTTTACTGATTATGATCAGTACCCATTTTCATAAAAACCAAATAAAGTCAATAAAAATTGTTAAGCATCTGTTGACTTTTAATTTCTAAATGGTTTATTGTTGATCAAGTTGCAATTAAATACTAGCATAAAATTAAATGAAATAAACTAGCATTTAGAACTGAAGATGATGGGTTTATCAAGAGTTAAAAATCAATTAGAACTATTATACTTGCTATTGATTTTTGTGTAAAACATGAAAGAAAATGCTTGCAATTATATTAATACTTTAAAAATAGATATATATTAAGCATTATCATTACACAAAAATCAATAGTTAATAAAGAATCTAAAACTACATGTTAATCTAAAACAATTTTCATGCAAAGTTACCTTTTACTGAGATAAATGAAAGGAGTGGCAAATACAAGCAGCTTGTAGTTTAACAATCATAAAAATAAACTTACAATAGTGCACTGGATAGGCATTCAATCTAACACTGACAGAATCAAGGTCATTTTAATTAAATGAAGAAGACTTTATTGAAAAATGACGCTCCTAGCATACGTACGAAACGTAGGGATGTGCACACAAATCAATCTCTGCCCCATCCCACTAAATACAGGAAGTTCATCCATGTGTATACTAACCGTAAAAAACTCGACTTCGACATAAAGGACTATAAGCGTGAGATTTTTTTTTATACGACACAGGATTCACATGCATCCGTCACAAAAAATACGTGAAACAACTTCCCTGCCCAAATTACATGACATGTGCACATAAAAATTTACCATTTACAATTATTGACCCGATGAACATGAAGTTAGTTGCATGCGCAGAAATGATCTCTCTTTGAAATATATCTGTCTAGGATATTGGAAGGATATGGTGCAAAAACATAAAAAGTGGAATGAAACTAATTACATGCCCCACGTCGGCTTCTATTTCTAAAAGTCTTACCTAAATTTCTCTAACACTTGAATGACAAAATCACCTTAAGATAATTATTAGTGCATATTAAAGCGTTTTCAAAGATGCATTTGACGAATATTGCAATGTGCACTTCTTAATTTCACAGCAAACACAATGGTCAAAAAGCATAGTCAAATGCGACCATAGTCAATAATTGGTGGTAAAACATTGCAAGTCAAAAAAAAATGTTTTTCTAAATTGTTTTGATAAAGCATTTAAAAAAATAGGAGAATTAACTTTTAAGTAAAACTTTTTGCAGGTTGTCTATTTGAGGGTAAGGTTAAAAGTATCAAAATATAATAAAATGTGTTACTCTTTTTGCGTGTGACGGAATATGTCAAAGAGTATATCATGAAATATGTTTTACTTGCAATGATTCATTGGATTTTGTTTGGTCGGATCTAGAGACTTGAAATTTTGCATAGGCGATTTTGCCACTACGTAGGCGAGCATTAAGGAAGAATATTACAAAATGTAAATGTTAAAATTTTATGTTTAATAAATTTCAATTCAAAGCATTAAACATACAGACAAAGCAGATAAGTGTTATCAATATGTAGTTTTACCCATCTCTTATCGAGTTGCCAAAATGGCGTAAATGAAATTGGCACAAAATGCTAAATTTTATAGCCAGTCCATTTCTAGTTTTCAGACCATAGAAAATGTTGTCATTTAAAAAAAAGTCCTATCTAATTATTCATACCAGTGGCAATTGTACACGTCAACGTCAAGCCGTTAAGTCAACTAGAGGAGTGACGTTATCATCGATTTTGGTCATATATCGTAAACTCGTAAATACTGGAACAAGAACAAATTCAATCATCATCAAAACAAATTTCTGAAACCCTAAAAAATTGCTATTGTCTTACGTATACTTATAGTATGTCTGTTTGAGATAGATTAGTTTGACAATTCATTTGACAATTCACTAGAGATGGGTTGAAAAAGATCGGTTATGAATTTTTCGATTTTCGATGGGTGTTTCCTAGAACTTGCAATCGAAAATTTTGTGATTATGGTTTTTTTTAATTACAATGTAAATGACCTCTTTCCATTTTTTCTTTATCTGAAAAATTCGTCTCTATTGCCTCTCTCTTCTTTATTTCTGATAAAGCACTACAAAAAAGTTAGTGAAGACACATTTTCGTTTTTTAATACGAGTTATGCAATACATTATCTGATACCATTGAAAGGTTTGTGGTGGCACCAAATATCAATTGTCACAAAACTAAACAGTAACTGGTGCAGATAAATGCAAAAAAAACTGAATGCTGATTTAAATGTAGAATTTGCAATTCGTTTGAATACGTAACAAGTGATGTCTGTATTAGATTAAATTGCAATTACGTTTATAATGTACCTACTTTAAAGTATCCAATGTATCTGTTTAGATGCACCTATATTTAATTTAAATAAAAAAGTAAAGGCCTTGATTTTATTCCATATTTTAACGCTTCAAATGTTTCTCAGTATGAACGCCGTTTCTACAGATTCTTAAAAGTTTATAGGACACGAGTTTTATAAGTTTACAATGGCGACGACGTTAATAGCATTGCTCAACTTTTGTAAAACTTTGTGAAACGGATGCTATGCAGTGGAAGGAGCCTTTGTCGAACAATCCATTAATGGGATTGAAGTAAATTAAATGTTTAAAATTGTGTATTAGTAGTTTTCACGTATCATGCTGTTACTTAGTTAAACATAAGTGTAAAACATCATCTGAGATAGCACTGGACCAATTTCCATAGGTCTAATTTTGCCAAGTTGGACTACTTTGGGCTTTTCGCTTCTACCTTTTAACGGCATTTGTTGAAAAAAAAATCATCTAGAAATATAAGAAGCAAAGCCGAGAGTAACAGTTCTCGGCTAATGACAGTACTATGAAAATTAACTTTTCCAGACGCTTGAAGAATTAAAGTACAAAGCTTAGAGCTAGACGCTAGAGAGTAATAACAAAGATTACGGTTTAGAAAAGCGCTCATAACTATCTGATTCTATCTTGAAAAAATATACGGTGCAGTAGAATTATTATTTTCTCCCCTTACATAATTTATTAGCAACAAAATTATTACTATTTTTTTTAGTATACTTAATTAGCAAATGCAGAACAGATCAAATTTACAAGAGGTGCTAACAGGGATATACCGACTATCTCCTATTTCAAAGTTTGTCGCTTCAGACTATAAGCCTCAAAGGTATTATTTGCACTGGGTGCTTACAGGTCCGTCTTTGGTCTACTATATCGATCATAAGCCACCGACAGATTGTAAATCTATATGTAGACGTTATATTCGGACTAGGAATAAAATAAGTTGTTAGTAAATGCGAACTAAAGGAAACACATCGACATACATCTATAGATACCTAATCCGAGCGCGGAGCAGAGTACAAAAGCGACGAGTAAAAAAATCTTTTGGGGTTTAGTTTTTAACACCCCACCACCCTCTAACCGCGCGATGTCTACACCTCGTCACTAATGCAACGAATGGGCTGGTAGTAAAAAAAATTTATAATACTTAGATTTAGCTCACGAAGTTACCAGAGTGTGGCGTGTAAATCAATTTTGTTCCCTTCGCCTAGCGCTCAAAATGCAACAGGATATAGCGAATTCGATGTCTAACCGGAGGTACATGTAAAGGTAGTTATAATTCATCCAGTAGTCCAATAAATAGTTGGTATTATTCGTTCATCATTTTTATTGTTCTTTTGTTAAGTTTTGTTATTCCAAGCAAAAAAGTGAAGATCGAACAGATCGAAATTCTTAAGATGCTTGTTGAGAGCGATTAATTTCGCTGCCTTGTAATAATTGCCTTTAATCCTCTCTTTCAAAAGTATATTTTCCACTTGTTCTTTTCTTTTGTAATATATTTTCAATTGGTCCAATATTTTTTTTTGTAGTCTTAATACCTTTAGCCCTCGACTCCGTCCGCGCGAAATTAAATTCAACCTTAATTAGTAGCCTGATTTCGTCCAGACTGTGTTTTAAATCTATGCCAAATTTCAGCGAGATCCTTGTTCCGTTTTGAGATACCTTCTTACAAACATACATACATCCAAACATTCGCATTCGCAATGTTATTGATCTATATTATATTTATTGAACAATGTTGGCTCTCTGTATTTTTTTTACCTAAAATACAGATTTACCTTAAAGAATGTTAATTAGAGGAAATTTTATTTTATTATTTGATAATTGCTTTACATATCTGTAAAGAAATGATTTATTTCGGATTTCAAATAAGCGAACGTTTCATTTTATTTTAATGGATTATCTATTTCCGTGACTTAAAAAAATACGAAATAAAAATTATTCAAGTTAAAAGGCTGCAAAAAATTTAATTATTATTTCGTCTGATAATAATATAATTGTAATATTTCACTCGACCGGTCTTCGTTAGCGAGTTCAGAGGGGTATGAATTACTTTAACTTTGTAAAAACTATTTACGTATAGAAACTTGTATAATATGATCTTTAGTTTTATGCCGAAAAGAATCACCAGAAAAGGTCAATTGTGTAAGCACATATTGTAGCAAATCATTCGCTAAGATAAAATCGAATACCATTTCTGTACAGTGAAACGTTTGCTTGCGATGTTCTCCATTTGATTTGAGCGTAAATGAAATGACAACATAATCACTAGCAACATTGTCGCTCAAAATCCCGGGCTCGATTGTGTCAGGCTAACATTTGGTTTCAACTGCCATCACAATTGTATTGATTTTTTTTGTTATCACGCAAATATATTTTTTTTAATAAAAACATTTATTATATTTTTACACTAGACAAAGTATGTCTTTGAGGTATTAGATGTCGGTAACGTAGCGTACTGTGCTTTGACGGAACTCTCTCAAGTCTCGGAAATTGTCACCACCGGTTCTAGTGAGTCTTACATAAAGCCTTCCTTCTCAGAAGACGGGGAATCTTTTGAAGATTTCTCCCGCAATATGAAAATAGGTTTATTTGTTTTCATACTTCAAATTCATATACATAGGGTAATTAAATAGGTCAGGCTTTCTTTATTTTTTCTGAAAAATTAGCCATAAATAATTAAGCATTTAAACTAAATATTTGATTTGCTGGTTGTTAAATATTAGTCGCCTTTGTGTCGTACAAAGCTTTTGATTACCCTAATGGAGTCCGTTTCTAGTCACGGTAAACAGAAAACGATACTATATTTGACGTTAAATTATACCTATTTTGTTGCCCGCAGGCGAAATTGAAATAGAGGGAAAGCCAATTTTGCACTCTAAGTACACACCAAATACTAAAACGACTACACGCATTAATCCCCCATTGAGGGGCCTTTTACACGGTGAGTGGGACTGCTATCCAGTCGCGGTTGCGGCTCGTCTGTCACTAATACCCGATTGAAGCTATTTTAGTATTTACTTTATTAAAATACTCGTGGTCGCCCGCGAATCCGTACGCATGGAATTAAAAAAAATATTTAGTAGTGTTCTTCCAGCCTAGGTTCTATATATATACCAAATGTCATCGAGATACGTTCGGCCGTTCTGGAGATACCTTTAAACAAACATCCATCCAAAAATTCGCATTTACAGTATTAATTAACTAGAACTACGTTATAAGTTACCATTACCGGAGTGACAAGACTAAAATGTTTTTTATTGATTGCAATAATAATGTTATAGAATTCGTCGGATTGAATACATAACAAGCATCGCGATAACGTCATTAGAGCTAAGAAACGCTTGCTAGTGAAACGAGAACGCTTTTCCCGCTAGATATATTTAAGTCCTCGCTATATTAATACATTAAAAAACTTTTGTACAATTTTTAAAACTTGAATTTTAAATTGAATTAAATTATTTCATAAAAGTTTAATGCAACGATGATTAGGTTACATCATCATCATCATCATCAGCACACAGCAGCAACACCGATGTACATGGCGGAATTCGAACCCAGGACCTGCAGATTGCAAGTCAAGTGCTTGACCCCTGAGCCACCGACGCTC